GAGGAGGAGGAGTGGTGATGGTGGTGGTGGAGTGCGGTGTGCGGTGTGTGCGGAGAGGTTTCAGAGGGTCAAAACGCGACGGGGTCTCTTGGCCCCCCTCCCTCCTTCCATCCCTCCTCCTCCTCTTCCTCTCCTTTACTCCTCCTCCTCCTTATCACACACACAAAACGTCAGAGAAGAAGAAAAAGAAGAAGAAGAAGAAGACCCCCTCAATCGTTTTATCTCGGTTCTCCTCCAAACTGATATCACTCCTCCATCATCCCTCCATCTTCCCCTCGTTTCTCCCCAACCGCGCTGCAGCTGCGCTACAATCATCTCGGGATAACTCGGGAGAAGAATCGTGATAACTCTCTTACTCCAGTGGGATGGAGCATGTTTAACAGAGTCTAATTAAACTCTGGACAATCAATTAAGGCGATAGGAATGGGAATATATATTAGGTATTAAGTGTCTGCAGCTTGCCAAACAGATATTTCTTGAAAACCTGGCAGTGAATTTGCTTCCAAAGTCTGATTACAAATGCAGCTCATTGGGAATACGCACTTTTAAGTGCTGTAAGCAAGAGAGAGAAAAAACAATCAAAAGCCATGAAAATGTTTCCTTCTGAGACTAATTGTTGCAAAAAAACTAAGAGTTTTAATCAAGTTGCCGGGTCATAAATAAGTTTGAAGCGTGCTACATGACAAGAAAGTTACTGGCTGATAATAGCTTTCAAAGTGTTTTATTGTTTCAGTCCACATCCATTGTAGTCAGCCTTTTGACACTGCCCAAATGTCCCCCTTTGGCCCTCTTTGTGTTGATTGAGAGAAAAAACAAAACCATTTCTGTGAGAAAGTTTAATTTTAACCAGAGAGAAAGAAAAAACCCTTTCACGTGTTGGTGGAATATCTAAACCCCCCAGTCTTGTGTTGTAAATGACACCTAAGTAACATAATAATTATTCAAAACGCTCCTCTTCCCCCTGCCCCGCTGTGAGGGGCCAACAGGCGGCTGCACTTCAATCAGCAGCGGCCTGGCGGGGTACAGCGGGCCGGGGCAGGCGTCTCCGTGGGCGGCATGGAGTTTGACCGGTTGGGGCAGCCTGTGAGGGCCCCGCACCGTCCATCCAGTCTGGGCTCTTTTAACTCCGCAGGGCGCTGGTTTCCTACAGGGGTGATCACAGCGCTCAGCCCCCTCCTACACTGAGCCGGTAATACAGCCGTGAAGCAGTATCAATGGGCTGGAAAAGACGGTCCAAGGCTTGTTTTCACTTTGTTAACAGGTTGAATGAAAAGGATTAACACCGGAGCGAGCATCATCTGAAGATTTCATGTTCACAGGGATTTAGATTTCCTCATCTCCCTTGGTGGAAAACCCCTAACCCTTCTGTGTTTTTCTTCGGGACACTTCAACTTGGACCATAAATCTAAAGTCTGTAACATTTATCTAACAGACTATTATCTCAACATGTAGATTGCACTCACTCATTTGCATCACAAACACTAAAGACTCTGTCATTTTTATCACATCTCCTTGTGTCTTTGAGACTAAACAACACCTACTTTGCTACAGTAAATGTGTTAATGGAAACACATTTTAGCACAACATATGTTGTTAAACCTGTGCTGATAGGTAGCACAACTGTAGCTTGTTGTCCCAAAGCAGGCACACAGTTGCCTTGTAATAACACACCCAAATAAAGACAGAATGAAAATACTGCTGTCATGCATAGGAAATAGTCAGTTATAGAGAGTTTTATCAGTTTGAAACTTCATGTTTTACTTTCAGAATTTGACCTTCGCTGTAAAACCTGGTGAAATACAATGTATTTTATATTGCTCCCACTGTCATTGATGTTAACAGTACTTTTTAGACAGTACTACCCTCCCAAATGCTAAATACGTTTTATAACAGTTTGTTCAGAAGAGGCCAGAGAGCTAATGTCACTAGGACAGTGTAATGTAGATTTCTTTGTGTGTCAGTGACTTTTTGCTAAACACGAGGAATATATTTGTTCATGCGTAGCTTAGGCTATATAACAAAACATGATATATTTCCTTATTTAACATTAAATACATACATTTAACAATACAATAAACAAATGTGCTGAGGCACTGAGTTTTGAGGCCAGAAGAAAGGAAAAAAACATTTAAAGGGAATGCTTTATTATTATAATTTGTACACATATAGCCCTGGGGTCTGTGGGACCACAAACAATGAGGAAGTAACGCCAATGTTTCAATTATCTGCTCCAGCTTTTCTTATTGTATTCCTAACATTGTGTGAAAATTAGTCAGATTTTCCTACCAAACCATCCAAAATCCATGAGTTCTTTTCATTTTGCGTTTGGTTGACGGCACAAATGCACGTGTGATGGCTGATTAAAATATAAAGAGGTGGCTCAAACTTCCAGGTTACTTCAGGTCTATGCGAGTTCCTCTAGTTGTGTAGCTCTCCTGTAAGAAATAGTCTCTTTTCCTGCAGCACACAGCTGAACATCAGTCAGCCAGGTTCACTCTGGGACCATTCTGCATGTCAAGGCTGCTGCAGTTATTTGTCACTCCCTGTCAAGGCTCAAGTGCTGGCTCCCCTGCACCCACGAAGGCCTGTTGAGTGCCTGTGCTCGGACTATAGCATGTAAGTGTGATCATGACAGCGGACACAGTGGTATGTGTGTGTTTGTGCGTGTGCATTTCTTTGTGTGCTCGCTTACTTGTTTGCTTGCGTGCTGGAGGGTCAGTGTCAAGGTGTTCTTCTTCCAAGTTGGGCCTCACTGCAGGCGATGCCCTGGGCTAGGACAGGAAACAAGTAGAGAGGGAGACTGTGTCCATGAGGTTGTGTGTATAACTGTGGGTGCCTACATGATTGCATGTTTCTTTCTACCCCCCTGCATGAATTTAGAAATATAGTTGGCCACTGTAATCTCATGAAGTTGGCAGACAATGCAAACTGCTTTTGTCCTCCGCAGCTTTAGCCCAGCATGATGCTGTTAGTGCAAACAGAAATATGACATTGCCAGCTGTTGACCCTGTTCAAATAGTAATGTATCATCTGCAAGGTGAAAAACAACATCTACAAACTGCTGCTGCCCTCACTTTGCCACAGAGTCTTACTTGACTCTACCAGAGAGAGAGATGGAGGGAGGTAGAAGGCCACCCAGCCTTGTTGACTTCAGTGACTCCGCCATTAAGAAAATATGGCTGCCATGACCTCCGGCAACCGCACACAACCACCCAAAAACATCAGAGAGCTGTGACCCTCCACCGCCTGCATGAGAGAGAAGGAGCGAAGTGATGGAGGGAAGTTAAGTGAGAAAGAGAAGATGAGGGAAAGAAACATAGAGGGGTAAAAGTAGGGGTTAGTCGGGGGGGTGCAGAGTGCATTTTTATGAGCTTGTGCCTCTCCAGTTTCTGGGTCGTCTGGCCGCTTAGACATAAATTTTCGCCCCCTCCCTCTTCTCCATCTCTCCTGCTTTCTTCTGGCACTCTCGCCACAGCAAATCCCCCCTTATCTGCTCTTGCAGCCTGTTTGCAAACTTTCCTTCCAGTTTCTCTCGTTCTCCCCCCAGCCGGGTCATTCCTCTCTCTTTATTTCCCTGCTGTTTACCTGTTTGGGCATGGCCTCTCACTTCCGCTCTCCACCATCTCTCCATCCTTCTGCTTTCCCCTCTCCATCTCTTTTTGTTTATAGTAAGCCAACACTGCCTTTTCTGCCTTCTGTTATTTTCTTCCTCTCCTTCTTCATCCCTCCTTCTCCTCCTCCTCCTCCTCCTCCCTGGTCCTGGTCCCCCTCCTTCACCCCCCTTATAGATGGAGATTAACTGGGGAGTGCAGCGCCATCCGTCCTCCTGACTGTTTGTTGTTAAGGAGATGGATGGAGCCTCCCTCTGCCAGCCCCACGCAGCCGCAATTACACCAGCCGCCATGATGGATGGAGGGGAGGGAAAAGGGGGGTGGGGGCGGAGAGAGGGAGACACAGAGAGGGGCATCTATCACGCCCCTTAATCTACCTGTCACTGCAAGGGCTCGGATGAAGGGGGGGAGTATGTGAGGGGAGGAAGAGAGTCGGCTTTATCCTGAATGTTGGTCAAAGGTTTGTTTCTTTCATTTACCTTGAATTTGTTTCTTCGCTTTTTGAAGAATTAGGCCTTCAGGGACTGGACTCATTAAATGTCCTGATCACTCCGATTGATTTCACAGACCTTATTGGATTCTGTTGAACATACTCACTGTGTTAGTGTGTGTGTTTGAATTGTGTGTGTGTGTGTGTGTTTAACCACATCAATATTAGCTGGGAAAGGTGCTTTAGGGTCTGCAGCTGGCCAGGTTGAAACACAGAGATATTATTTTACTTTTTTAAATGATCTCTCTTATATATAATTTTAACAGTTTCAGTTATTCTGTTGGATACAAAATATAACTGGCCATTGCAAATAACGGAACACGAAATAACCTAAAATAATGTATTTCTACACTTGAAATAGTCCCAAGGCAACTAAATACAGGAGACTGAAGCTGCATGTTATCTGTAGGCTACATCCACAGGCACATTTATGCTAAATTTACACAGTTTGTATGTTTTATGTAGTTGACATAGAACGTCTGTGTCCTCTTGTGCACCCAATATCAACTTCTGGAGGTGAGGAGATAAAAACAGAGAAAGTACTGACAGCCAGTGTTGGACTGGGGGAGAAAAGGGGACTGTACATTGTCCAGTCAATGTACAGTCCACAAAGACACTAGAATGAATAACTGTGGATGCAGGCAGGGGCCCATAGAGATGTACAGGGTCCAGAATTATGTGCTCTGCCACTGCCAGGAGGTGCTGATTCTAAGGAAACATGCATTAATAACACAGAAGTAACCTCTCGTATTGCTGCAGGTTTAAAAATCCTTAGTTATACGTATATTATTTATTCTACTGTAATATTATTTCCATACAAGTTTCAGATTTAACCACAGAAAATATACATCTGTTAGTTTATTCTAAACAATAATATATGTGCACATACAAGCAGCTGTGCATCCAGGGCCCCTCCATACTGGAAATATGTTGCTACCCACAGGCATCAACAGGTAATACGATACAGCTTCTGTTGCCCTTTTTGCAGAAATGCACGCACACATTTTTACACACATCCCATTATGGCACATACACATATAAATACTGCATAAACATACAAACAACACACACACGCTTCCACACAAAGTTGTTTATCATCCCATCTGCAGTTATTGCCTCTGCAGTCCGCCCACACACACTCACCTCTGCAGCATCCTAGCTCATCCTCAAACCTGTTGAAGGTATCAAAGCAGTGACCTATTGTCGAGTAAATCTGCATACATTGCCTGTATTGCCTCTCCATTTTCCCCCACAATGCTGCGGAAATATTATGAAAAGTAATCTGAGGTCTCCTACCCTCTACCCCTCCTCCTCCCGTCCCCATCTCCCTCCTCCACCTCCTCATCTGTCCAGAGGAGTGAGAGATGGGATGGAGGGATTAATACTCTTCCGCCCAAGCCAACCCTGGGAATGATAGATGGACAGATGCAGGAAGGGAGTGGAGGAGGAGAGGGAGAGATTAAAGGAGAGAAGTCTGAGGGTTCATAAATCCAAAGTGGGAGACCTGGTCCACATCACACACTAATAAGATCTGCAAGAAATCCATGATGAGGGAGAGA